GTAGTCCAAGCGGGAGATAACCAGAGCCTCTGCCTCACCCTCCCTGGTTAAGGCTATCCCGCAAAAGGGATCCATGAGGAATTGCTTCCGTCCGACGCCCAGATGGGGGCTAGGGCCAGAGAACTCCTCCAGGGGAGACTCCTTAGGGATACACCAATTGGATCATTCTATCATTTTTCTCCTGTGCTCCTATCTTGAAAGGATTTTTTTTTTAAAAGATATTTATTAAGGTTTTCAAAGTATTACAAAAAAAAAGGAAAAAAAGAAAATACAAAATAAAAATAGTTAAAAACAATTCGATCTTTCCGTATCTTATCTTTCATTTGCCTGTTTCCCGGACCTCCTCACACCTCCCTTTTTTGTATTCCAGTTCAATTTATTGGTTTATTGAAGTGAGAAAGATCCAGATAATCTTCTTGGAAAGATCCTCTTGCCAAGTCTTCTGTCGAGCACATTAAAAGAAAGATGTTAATTATACTTTGAGTCTTTTCCTGTCCTGGAATGCCCTATCGGTCGGGTTTCATAGGCCTTCATCACAACTCTGCCCTCTGGAAGTTGTGCAACTCCCATCAGTCCCAGCTGGGACCAGTTTGGGGAAGGCTCTCCTCCAGAACGGGGGGCACCATTTTGTGCACCCCTGCCCTCCTCTGTTGTTCCCCGCCGGCTGCCCCCTGGAAACCTTTAAAACGAATGTGTTTCCACCTACGGTTTAGCCACAGGCGGAAATCCACCAGGTGCAGCTTCTTCTAACAGTCCCAGGAGAAGAAACCCCACCAGTTGGATTTCTGCCCGCTGCACGGCTGCTTAAAGGCACGAGGCTTGCGCCACAGGGTGGGAAGGAGAGTCGTGGCGCACCCACAGCCAGGGAGGAGAAGGGGAGATGCGGGTGACACAGCGATGGGACCTCTCGCCAGCTGCAAGCTCTCTGGGTGTAGGAGGGAGGAGAAAGGAGTCGATATGGAGGTGCCGCGCCCCACTTAAGAACAGGTTTGGCTTTTTCCTGCCCCAACCTGCTCGCTGGAGGCTGGGAGAGAACATGAGGAGGTTTGGGACACAACCTGTTCCCGATTGCCCTCCAAAGGACGCGAGGAGCCACCTCGGCCCAGCTGATGGGTGTGGGTCTACTCTGAGCAGGGAGTGAGCGCGCTTATCTCTCTGATGTGGTTCTTTTGCACAAGAGCCGAAGCAAGCTTTGTCGGCATACGCGCCGCAGTTCAACAGGTGCTGTGCTGTGCGCTCTTCTCCTCACCGCCAGAGCCCACCAACCAAATATTATTTTCGGATTGTGTGTGTAATCGTCAGAGAAGCTCAAAGTGCAACGCCTGGTTCTCTCCCTCCCCACACAACAACCCCACAAGGTGGGCTCCTAGCTGTCAACTTTTCCCTTTTCTTGCGAGGAATCCTATTTGGAATAAGGGGATTTCCCTTTAAAAAAGGGAAACGTTGACAGCTATGGGTAGGCTAGGTGGAGAGACGGGCAGGGACTGGGCCCAATGTCACACCTAGTAGGCTTCATGGCCAGTGTGGATTCGAACTCAGGTCCTCCAGGCCGTGGTCTGACACTCTAACCCAGTGGTGTCCAAACTTTTTTCAAAGAGGGCCAGATTTGATGAAGTGAAGGGCCGTGAGGGCCGTCCAAAGTTGTTAACCTTTTTTTAAGATTGCAGTTGTTGAGATTTCTTTAGGATTTAGTTGTTGAGGGTTTTTTAGGATTTTACCCCAGGAAATAAACTACTACAGGGGCCGGATTAAACCGACCGGCGGGCTGGATTAGGCCCCCAAAACGGACTTTGGACATGCCTGCTCTAACCGCTACACCTCCCGGGCACTCGTGACTGTATTATATATCAAACTCAGTTACAAAAACCCCTCTGATACAAATACTTCTATCATTTTTCTCCTGCTGCTCCTATCTTGAATCCTGCCCGCAGTTTTGTTTGTTTGCAATGCTTTTCCAAAAAGTCCCCCATTCTTCTGTTAAAAGCTCGTTTTGATCTCTTAATAATGCTACCGACATTGCCATTTCCGCATAGCCCATTGGCTCTCTGTCCCCAAGCTTTTCGTTCGTCGCTCTGCCCATTTTCGCCTCTGGCCCTTCCCACCACCAGTTTGTGGCCCCCGGAAGGTCTTGCTCAGAAATAAATGTGGCCCTCAGGGCTAGGCGGGGGGGGGGAACGGGACCCTCGCGAGAGTAGCCAACTTTCTCGGCATGCCTTGCTCCTGTGCCTCTCGCGAGCAACTCTGATCCGATTTTTCTGGTGGCCGAATATTTGTGAAAGGCAGAGGAGCAGCCTCGCTGGCCTTTGGGAGGGTCATTTGGCGATGTCCTCTGTTTACAGCGCAGCTGTGTTCTTTTTGGGTTTTCTGTTCCCGCTTCTGCGGTCGGCCGAAATACATCTTTCTGAGGCGGTGATGGGTCAATACCTCTCAAAACACAGGCCCACCAAGGCTGCAGAGGTGGAGCACATTTTGTTTATGCTTTTCAGGCTACCTGAGGTGAAAACAGCCACATCTTTGGCTGCTCCCAGGCCTTGCTTGATAAAGCCAGCAGTTCCTGAAATCCTAATATCAACAAACAAAGGAAATCGAGCGAGAAAAGCAGCCAGACCTGTGTTTTTTTGTGGAGAAATGGTCTGTAACCCAGCCCAAAAAAAGAAGACTCTGAGTTCTGGCTGTGTGCGGAGAGATGTATGTTTCTCATGCCCTTGAGGTTCAGGGTACTTCTGAGCATGAACAGAGCAGAAAATTTCTGCATTCAGATAGGTGCGCGGTTGCCACCTTTCCCTCCTGGGCAGAGCTCTTGCGCTCTAAAGAATTGGGTGGCAGGCAGAAATCTGTCCGTGGAAGCTTCGAAACAGGCTCCACCTGGTGGATTTCTGCCCAAAGCAAGTTATTCAAAGATGAACTGCTGCGGCTTAGAAATCCTGCTTTAAAAGTAATAAAATAAATTGCCTGGGTTGCTTATCGACGAGACGGCACTTGCAATAAGTTGCACTTTGGCAAGAAGTATTAGCAAAGGCAGCGTGTTGCAAGAAATTATTTTATACGGGCTGCTTGTTGATAGAATTGGGCAAGGAGATCGGCAGCCCAGCGGTGCGTACGAAAAGGCATTGCACAGAAGGGGGAGGCGGCTTTGCGAAAAAGGGGTGCCTTGGGCCGAGTTGCACACTGGACGTATATTGGGAGAAATTCGCACTGAGGACTCAGAACTCGCAAGCTGAATTTGAGATGAGAGAAGCGAGAGGCTGAAACGCAACGCATTCGCCCCTCCCTCTCTGTGGGGCGGCAGCCCTGCCAGGCTGCCAAATCCCGGGCGAGGCACATTCCTGTAGGTAAGGCAAGCGGGTCCTGGGTTTGAAACCTGAGAAGGCAGCTCAGCGGAGGAGGGCAGCTGCCAGGGCTGAAAGGCAATGATCTGGACAGTTTGCGGCGGGACGTCCCGGCTTGCTAGTGGGCCGGGGCAGCACTGCTCTGAGTTTTCTGCCCTCCGCACTGGAGGCCAAGTTTCTCCCTTGAAATAGAACCAGTGCCTGAGTTTGCTTCTTTCCTCCTCCCTCCTCCCTCCCTTTTCCTTTAGTGTCGTATATTTTACATTGCAAATCTGAGGGGCAAGAACTGTAAGCCCTTCTTCCTGGAGCCTTTTAGGGGGCAGGGAGTAGCTGCTGAAGAGCAACAATTAAAAAAAACCCAGTAAAATTATTACTTTTATTATTAATTGAATTTATATACCGCCCTATACCCGGAGGTCTCAGAGAAGAACATGCTTGTTCAATCCTGGCTGTTCCTCCGCCCTCAGAGATTCTGGGAATGGCGGGTGGCAGGGCCTTCTCTGTGGTGGCCCCTGAGCGGTGGGACTCCCTCCCACCCAGGGCATCCGGTGCCCTCTTTACACATATTTGGGAATCATTTTTATTTGATTTTACAAATACAAAATTATAACAATCCAAATGCATATCCATATATAGAGATTTCTCTTAATCTCCAGACCCCCATCCCCGCCCCTTCCGTGGGTCTTATTATCAACATTTATAACTGCAGATTATTCCATACTCTATATTTGATATCAATCCATAATATCCACGGTCTTTGTTACATTACAAGTGAGATTAGAATCCTGCTAATGTTTCCATCTGCTTGCAGTGGTCTCCTAAATAACTTACAAATTTCCCCCATTCTTTTTTAAAGTTTTTGTTCTCTTGGTTCCTGAGTTTTCCAGTCAGATTTGCCATTTTGGCATAGTCCATCAGCTTAGCTTGCCATTCCTCTCTAGTAGAGACTTTTTCTTCTTTCCACGTCTAGGCTAGTAACATCCGAGCGACTGTTGTCCCATAAATAAAAAGTCTTTTCTCATTTTGGGGATGTCGCTACCTATAATTCCTAATAAGAAAGCTTCTGGTTTTTTAACAAAGTTTATTTTAAACATTTTTTTCATTTCATTATATATCATCTCCCAGAAAGCTTTTATTACCAGACACGTCCACCACATATGATAAAAGGTACCCCTTACGCATCTTTTTTCGGAAGCCGAACGTGCTCCGTTTTGAGTGTTACACTTCCGATTTGGGTGTTACGCTGAGGTCTGTCTGTTTTTGCTATTTATTTTGCCTTTTTGTGGCTTTTTTGTTTTGCTCTTGTGACTGTGCGCAACCCAGTTCAGCTACTGACGGATTGGTTGTGTGACTGCAGCACATTGTTTATCGCTTTCATTTTATGGATCAACGGTCTCGTTAGATAGTAAAATTCATGTTCAATTGCTGTTTTCGGGGTTGCTTGTAAAAGTCTGGAATGGGATAATCCCCTTTGCCTTACTTTCTGTGGGAAAGCGTGCCTTGGTTTTGGAACGCTTTGGTTTTGGAATGGACTTTCGGAATGGATTAAGTTTGAGAACCAAGGTACCACTGTAGTTGGCGGACACAGGAAGCAGGAGGTGGATCGCTCGGCGAAACGGTCTTGCATTTGCTTCTCCCCGCTAATCTCTCTCTCTTTCTCTCCCCCCGCAGGTCCATCACCACAGACCTCAAAGGGGACGTACATTCTGGTTCCAGTGGGCAAGGCCATGGACGGAGGGCTCTGGTCAGCAGAGGTGACCGACACAGGCACAAACACCATATCCCTGCGGGTCAACACCTCGCCCAACGCCGTGATTGGAAAGTACCAGTTTGGGGTCAAGACGCGGACCAAGGCGGGCGAGTACCAGATGCCCTTTGACCCCCGCTACGATATTTACATCCTCTTCAATCCCTGGTGCAAACGTAAGTTGGCAGGCTTCCTTTTCTCTCTCCCCCTCTTTATGTGCATGTGTCAGTAGAGAACGAGGCTCCTAATCTTAGGGTTGTGGGTTCGAGACGCATCTTGAGCCAAAGATTCCCGCATCGCAGGGGGTTGAGCTAGATGACCTTTGGGTTCTCTTCCATCTCTATGATTCTATGAAGCTGCAGCGGTTTCTAATAGCCAGTAATTGGAAGTGTATGCTGTCTCTGACAGGGGAGGCAGAAAATAGCCATTGGGGTCCGTGGCATCAATTTATTAGAAGAATTTCATTTATGAAAAGATAGAGTGAGGAAAAGAAAGAAAGAAAAGAGTGAGAGAGAACAGGGGGGAATGAAAAAAATACTGTTACATTACCATATATTAATATAAGGTAAAGGTAAAGGGACCCCTGACCCTTAGGTCCAGTCGTGACCGACTCTGGGGTTGCGACGCTCATCTCGCTTTACTGGCCGAGGGAGCCGGCGTTTGTCCGCAGACAGTTTTTCCGGGTCATGTGGCCGGCATGACTAAGCCTCTTCTGGCGAAACAGAGCAGTGCACGGAAACGCCGTTTACCTTCCCGCTGGAGTGGTACCTATTTATCTACTTGCACTTTGACGTGCTTTCGAACTGCTAGGTAGGCAGGAGCAGGGACCGAGTAACGGGAGCTCACCCCGTCGCGGGGATTCGAACCGCCGACCTTCTGATCGGCAAGCCCAAGAGGCTCAGTGCTTTAACCCACAGCGCCACCCGCGTCCCAATATATTAATACACAGATGTGTATATTATTGCCTTACTGTCCCAACACACATAATATATTCTGTGTAAACTCATTATGAATATCAGTGTCTTTATTTGCGCAGATACATATTCAAAGTCAATAAAAGAAGTTTACTCACATCAGTTCACAGTTGGATTCCTGAAGGCAGACTTAGTTACCAATAAGTACATGTGGATCTACCTCATATGGGGGAATAATCCCAGTGCTTCTGCTATCTGAGAGCTAGCAGAGCAGTCCTAGCTAGAAGCTGGTCAAACGCAGAAAGAAGAACAGTGGTACCTCGGGTTAAGTACTTAATTTGTTCCAGAGGTCCGTTCTTAACCTGAAACTGTTCTTAACCTGAAGCACCACTTTAGCTAATGGGGCCTCCCGCTGCTGCCGCGCCGCCGGAGCACGATTTCTGTTCTTATCCTGAAGCAAAGTTCTTAACCTGAAGCACTATTTCTGGGTTAGCAGAGTCTGTAATCTGAAGCGTATGTAACCTGAAGCGTATGTAAGCCAATGTACCACTGGAAAAAATAAAGAGGGGGGTGTGCTGCGTGACTCGTCCTTTTGTTACCTGGACAGGTTAGGCCACGCCCACCTTCCATCACATGCAAAGGGATGCTCCAGCTAGGAGGAACAGGAAGTTTTGACTGGCTGGACCAAACATCCCCTCGCATGTCTTCTCTATCATTTCAAGGAATGCTGTAGTTGACTGACTCCCATGGACCACATCCCACATTTCAGGCCAGAGTCTTTCCCCGATTATACGGGAGGGTCTCGTTTTTCCCAGCCTCCTCGCTGCTGGAAGGGTCTGGCCAGCAAAAGCTTGTCCGGATGCCAAGAACCGTGGGGAAACGGCCTTATCTCTGTCCCACGCACACACCCTGCACAAAAAATGGGAATGATCTGCGGGTGGGAGGGGTGGAGAAAGGAAACCTTTTATCTCCAGTGGAATATGTTGAATTAAGCACCAAAGAAAATAAATCTCTTGGCTCCGCATTGTAGACAAAGGCCAGCCGAGCAGAACATTCAGGGAGTGTCAGGATAAGGGATGAAAAATAACAAAAGGCACTCTGCGCATGCCTCTGGGACACGTTCCAGAATGTCCGGCGCTCATCAGGGGACGGCCAGCTCCCTTTCCCTCAAAAGGGAAGAGTCAAGGAACTTAAGTTGAGTTCACGAGAAGCAGAACTCCATTGCACTCCCGAGGCAGAGCTGGGTTTGGAAAACCCCAAGCAAAGGGTGCCTCTGAGCATACGTAGAGCACCCATTTTCCTTCCCGCTGAAAAAATGATTTCAAAACACACACACACACCCAAAAAAAGAGTGACATATGTCATATAAAAGCATAAAAGCAATATAACTTAAAAAACATCAACAAGACCCGCTCGGATGCTACTAGCCCAGAGATAGAAAGAAGAGTCGCTACCAGAGAAAAATGACAAACTAAACTGATGGATTACGCCGAAATGGCAAAGCTGTTCGGAAACCTCAGGAACCAAAAGGACAAAAACTTTAAGAAAGAATGGGAAAGATTCATAATTGATTTAGGGGATCGCTAAGCAGATGAATAGGGACGCGGGTGGCGCTGTGGGTAAAAGCCTCAGCGCCTAGGGCTTGCTGATCGAAAGGTCGGCGGTTCGAATCCCCGCGGCGGGGTGCGCTCTCGTTGTTCGGTCCCAGTGCCTGCCAACCTAGCAGTTCGAAAGCACTCCCGGGTGCAAGTAGATAAATAGGGACCGCTTGCTAGCGGGAAGGTAAACGGCGTTTCCGTGTGCTGTGCTGGCTCGCCAGAGCAGCGATGTCACGCTGACCACGTGACCCGGAAGTGTCTGCGGACAGCGCTGGCCTCTTGAGTGAGATGGGCGCACAACCCTAGAGTCTGTCAAGACTGGCCCGTACGGGCAGGGGTTCCTTTACCTTTACCTTTAAGCAGATGAAAACATTACCAGAATTTTAATCAAACTTGCAATGCAATAAATACAATGGACAATATGGATAGATATAAACAGCGGGGGTTTTTTCTGGGGGAAAGCAGGGGGACACATACCCCTAAAAAATTTGTGAATCTTTGTCCTTTTGTCCATTTACTGTATTTATTTTTCCCGATTTGAACTATTAAACGGTGATTTTCTTGAGTCAAAATGAGAGTACCCCCTCAACATTTTTTTAAATAAAAACAGCACTGGATATAAAATATAGATTATAACACGCAGTTGTTACACGTTGACATTAGGACCCCTGGAGAGGCGATTGGGGGGGGGGAGTCGTGAGATTCAGAGCAATCTCTATGGAAATGTATTTGGTTTAGTTATAAATTTGTATTTCAAAAATCGGATAGAAAAGATGATCATAAAAAAAAATCAACAAGAAAACACAATTAAGATGATAGGGAGTCAAAATATTCTCCTCCCGTTGGTAATTTTTGCACACGCGTTCGGTGCTCTCTGTCCTCCCTTAAAAGACCTGTAATTTTGAAGCTCCCGAATTTGCCCTAAACTTCTCTTCTTCCATTTTTCCCATTCAGAGGATCCTGTTTACTTGGACCAGACCGGTTGGCTGGACGAGTATGTGCTGAACGAATCGGGGAGGATCTACTATGGGACCGAAACCCAGATTGGGGAACGCACATGGAATTACGCCCAGGTAGGATGCGGTGGCGCTGTGGGTTAAACCACAGAGCCTAGGACTTGCCGATCAGAAGGTTGGCGGTTCAAATCCCCGCGACGGGGTGAGCTCCCGTTGCTCGGTCCCTGCTCCTGCCCACCTAGCAGTTCGAAAGCATGTCAAAGTGCAAGTAGATAAATAGGTACCACTCCGGCGGGAAGGGAAACGGCGCTTCCGTGCGCTGCTCTGGTTCGCCAGAAGCAGCTTAGTCATGCTGGCCACATGACCCGGAAGCTGTACGCCGGCTCCCTCAGCCAATAAAGTGAGATGAGCGCCACAACCCCAGAGTCGGCCATGACTGGACCTAATGGTCAGGGGTCCCTTTACCTTTACCCTTTAGGATGCAAAGTGGTCAAAGGTCTCAGGGTGCTCAGTACTGTTTACATCAGCCCTCAGAGATGAGGCTGTCCGCCACTACCAGCACCCCTGTGCAAGGTGAGAGGGGCCACAGGTTCATTGAACCTGCTTCTGGCTTCCACGACTCCTCCTAAACTTCCTTAAAAACTCTCGAATCGCCATTCAAGGCGGCCTTAACAGAGTGGAGAACTGGGCCCAAACCAACACAATGGATTTCACTGGGGACAAATCTCAGGTTCTGCACTTAGGCAGGAAGAACCGGCAAATAGAAGATGGGGGGACACTTGGCTTGGCTGTGTGAAAAGGATCTAGGGGTCTTGGTGGACCACAAACTGATCGTGAGCCAAGACTGTGATGCAGAAGCAAGAAAGGCTAATGCTATTCTAGGCTGCATCAACAGAAGCATGGCGCCCAGGTCAAGGGAAGTGATAATATTGCTGTGTTGTGACTTGGTCAGTCTTGTGTCCAGTTCTGAGCACCACAGTTTAAGAGGGATGTTGACAAGGTGGGACATTTGCAGAGGAGGGTGACTGAGATGATCGATGGTCTGGAAACCAAAGCTTATGAGGGATGGATGAGGGACTTGGGTATGTTTAGCTCGGAGAAGGGATGAGACTGAGAGGAGATACGATACCCATCTTCAAATATCTCAAGGACTGTTACACGGAAGATGGAGCAAACTTGTTTTGTAGGACCCGTGCCAATGGATTCAAGTTACCAAAAACGAGATTCCGACTAAAGTTGTGGGTTTTCCTTCCTTGGAGGTTTTTAAGCAGAGGTTGGATGACCATCTGTCAGGGATAATTTAGTTGAAATTCATGCCTTGCAAGGGGTTGGACTAGATGACCGTTGGGGCCCCTTGCAACTCTTTGATTCTATTAATTTTCCTCCTCTTTAGAATCATTTGCACCCCAGACTGTCAGACACCCATTTGGAGTGTTTAGCAGTGCCAACTATGTTTTTTTATAAAAATTAAATAAAATTAAAAAGTATGAAAAAACTGACATTTTCAGTTATTAATGTGTTGGGGATACACCCTGAGAAGCATGAATGAAAGGAAATATGGATAAATGCCCCACAAGCAAACTGGGAGGCGTGAAGGATAAATGCTCATATAACCTCCCTGTGTGGGTTAAACCACAGAGCCTAGGGCTTGCCGATCAGAAGGTTGGCAGTTCGAATCCCCACAATGGGGTGAGCTCCCGTTGCTCGGTCCCTGCTCCTGCCAACTTAGCAGTTCGAATGCACGTCAAAGTGCAAGTAGATAAATAGGTACTGCTCCGGCGGGAAGGTAAACGGCGTTTCCATGTGCTGCTCTGGTTCACCAGAAGCGGCTTAGTCCTGCTGGCCACATGACCCGGAAGCTGTACGCCGGCTCCCTCGGCCAGTAAAGCGAGATGAGCGCCGCAACCCCAGAGCCGGCCACGACTGGACCTAATGGTCAGGGGTCCCTTTACCTTTACCTTTAAGCAAATCAGAACGGACGCTCAATAAAGGCCAGATAAAATCTAACCCCCATGTTAGCTCTGGGCAAGCAAATCAGGATGATGGCCTATTATAGGCCTTCTGGAGGAGAACTAAAGGTCCCCTCTGACTTCTTTTGAAGACAACAGAGCAGCACTGAAGCGCCTTGTGTGGTTATTCTGGTTTTCTGCCAGCAGGAGGCGCTGTTGCTTGCATCATGGTGCTGCAGTTTTGTTTCTGCGGGAGCTCTTGACGGTGCCTTTACTGTAGGTACCCAGAGTAGTTTGGTGTGTGCGTGTGAGAGATCTCTGAGTGTGTTCCCTTCTCCTCTCCCCCCGCAGTTTGACCAGGGTATCTTAGATGCCTGCCTCTACGTCCTGGACCGACGTGGGATGCCGCACGCGAGTCGGGGAGACCCCATCATGGTTTCGCGGGTCGTCTCTGCCATGGTGAGCCCTCGGGACGGTTTCGGCTTCTTGCCCGACAAAACTTGCTTGCGCGTTTCCTTTTTTAAAAAAATCGCCGTCTTACTTTCTGTCTTCAACTTGCACCCCTCTCTTCAGAAAGCTTCTAGCACCTGCCGTTCTGCATGGAGAAAGTCTGTTTGTTTATTGCATCCATATCATACCTTCATCTCCATGGAGCTAGAGCATGGGTAGGCAAACTAAGGCCCGGGGGCCGGATCCGGCCCAATCGCCTTCTCAGTCCGGACTGCGGGAAGTTCGGGAATCTGCATGTTTTTCCATGAGTAGAATGTGTCCTTTTATTTAAAATGTATCTCTGGGTTATTTGTGGGGCATAGGAATTCATTAATTTTTTCCAAAATATAGTCCACCCTCCCACAAGGTCTGAGGGACAGTGAATCAGCCCCCTGTTGGGAAAGTTTGCGGATCCCTGAGCTAGAGGGTAGTTCTCCGCATCTTGTCATTTTATTCTTACAACAACCCTGCGAGGGAGGTTAGCCTGAGAGGCAGGAACAAGGTCACCCTGCAAGCTTCATTTTTGGGTGGGGATTCGAACCCTAGTCTCCCAGGTCCAAGTCTAACCACTATTCCACCACAGTCTCCCTGGTAGAAACCCTAATATGCTTCCTGCCTTTGGCCAGTATACTCAAAGGAGCGTCTCCACCCGCCATTGTTCAGCCCGGACACTGAGGTCCAGCCCCGAGGGCCTTCTGGCGGTTTCCTCCCTGCGAGAAGTGAGGTTACAGGGAACCAGGCAGAGGGCCTTCTCGGTGGTGGCGCCCGCCCTGTGGTATGCCCTCCCCTCAGATGTCAAGGAAATAAGCAACTGTCGGACTTTCAGAAGACATCTGAAGGCAGCCCTGTTCAGGGAAGTTTTTAATGTTTGATTCTACAGTGGTACCTCAGTTTAAGAACAGCCCTGTTTACGAACTATTCGGTTTACGGACTCCGCAAAACCGGAAGTAGTGTCCCGGTTTGCGAACTTTACCTTGGTCTAAGAACGGAATCCGAACGGTAGAAGGGCACTGGCAACGGGAGGCCTCATTAGGGAAAGTGCGCCTCAGTTTAAGAATGGTTTCGGTTTAAGAACGGACTTCTGGAATGGATTAAGTTCGTAAACCGAGGTACCACAGTACAATTATAGAAAGGGGGAAAGGAAGACATCTGAAGGCAGCCCTGTTCAGAGAAGTTTTTAATGCTTGATGTTTTATCGTGTTTTTAACATTTTGTTGGGAGACGCCCAGAGTGTCTGGGGATACCCAGCCAGATGGGTGGGGTATAAGTAATAAATTGTTGTTGTTTATACCCCACCCACCTGGCTGGGCTTCCACAGCCACTCTGGGCGGCTTCCAACAAAATATTAAAATACAGTAGTGCATCAAATATTAAAAGCTTCCCTAAACAGGGCTGCCTTCAGATGTCTCCTAAAAGTCTGGTAGTTGTTGTTCTCTTTGACATCTGGTGGGAGGGCGTTCCACAGGGCGGGTGCCACCACCGAGAAGGCCCTCTGCCTGGTTCCCTGTAACTTGGCTTCTCGCAGTGAGGGAACCGCCAGAAGGCCCTCAGCGCATTGGACCTCAGTGTCCGGGCAGAACGATGGGGGTAGAGACGCTCCTTCAGGTATACTGGACCAAGTATATCTAGTAATAGTATTCCTATTGCCTCCACACTTCAGATCCATATTTCTGCGGCACCACCAAGTGGACTAAGCGCCGTGGAATTTCTTAATCTTAGCACACCTCTCTCATTGTAGAAATGAACCGTTAGAGTTGCCGCCATAAAACTAGCGTACTTGCAAAGCTAAGCTGGAACCTGTACAGGGAACCGTGAGCCGAGATTCCCGCATTGCAGAGGGTTGGACTAGAGGACCCCCGGGTCCCTTCCGACCCAACAATTCTATGATTCTACTAAAGGTGAAGCAACGAAACCTTGTGTCCCTCCATGGCTGACACGGCACTTGCTAACCTTGCTGATTCTCCCCACCTCTCTCTCTCTCTCTCAGGTGAACTCTCTGGACGACAACGGCGTGCTGGTCGGGAACTGGACAGGCGATTACTCACGCGGCACCAACCCTTCGGCCTGGGTGGGCAGCCGGGATATCTTGCTGAAGTACCACAAGACGGGCTACCCGGTTCTCTACGGGCAGTGCTGGGTGTTTGCCGGAGTCGTGACCACAGGTAGCTGCCGTCCGCGGGGAGGCGGGACGAGAGTGGGCTCTGGGGATGGGAGGGGAAGGGCATGGACAGAAGGAGGGCCTTGCAGGATCGGGTCCATGTGGTCCAGCACCCTGGTCCTCAAAGGAGCCGACCAGAGGCTTATCTCTCCCCGTTCCTCCTCCTCCTTGTCCCTCCAGTCCTCCGGTGCCTGGGCATTCCAACACGGACCGTCACCAACTACAACTCGGCGCACGATACGGACGTCAGCCTCACCATGGACATATACTTTGACGAGAACATGAAGCCGCTGGAGAATCTCAACGCCGACTCTGTTTGGTAAGTACGGCGACCCTGCCGCCTCCGTCTCAGGTTCCTATGTTCAGGAGGAAGGGCGAACCCAGGACGGCTGCCACCCAAATACCCTGCTTTTTAAAAGAAAAACTCTTTATTTACCTTACAGTCATACCTCATATTACGTCGGCTTCATTTTACGTTCCTTCAGGTTACGTCCCGCGGCGACCCGGAAGTACCAGAAAGGGTTACCGTATTTTTCGCTCTATAAGAATCACTTTTTCCCTCCTAAAAAGTAAGGGGAAATGTGTGTGCGTCTTATGGAGCGAATGCAGGCTGCGCAGCTATCCCAGAAGCCAGAACAGCAAGAGGGATTGCTTCTTTCACTGCGCAGTGATCCCTCTTGCTGTTCTGGCTTCTGGGATTCAGAATATTTTTTTTCCTTGTTTTCCTCCTCCAAAAACTAGGTGTGTCTTATGGTCTGGTGCGTCTTATAGAGCGAAAAATACGGTACTTCCGGGTTTTGCCGCTCGCGCATGCAAAATGAGTTCTAGTACAGATGACACAGTCATTGAGAGAGGTACACAAGCAATGTCCAGGCCATCATCAGAGGCTGAACTGGAATTGCCAGAGCCACTATTTACTGTTGGTCGTGGTTCTCCCAAAAGTCCCAAGGAAGAACTCAGCCAGCAAGGAGGATACGCAGATCTGAGAGAGTTGCAACAAGGCATGAAAGCACAACTGCTAAGTGCAGGTTTGCCCCAGAAGTTTTGGGCTGAGTCGCTGAATGTTTTTTCTTACACATGGGTGAGAAAGGTTTCAGCAGGTATGGAAAGTTCTCCTTTTGAGAAACTGTTTCAGAGAAAACCTTCTGTCAAGCACTTAAAGGTTTTCGGGTCTCACGTGAGGGTAGAAACCCCACAAGGTGTGAAAGGTGCACAGGGCATTTTTTGTGGGTTGTGAGAAAGGTCTATACAGAGTTGTATTGCCTGATTCTGACACAGTGATTCTGACTAGGAATGTAGAATGCACTGCACGACAGGAGAGAGAGGTTCTTCACAGTTTTCCCATCAGTGTCAATACAGATGTAGATTCTGACACTGAAAGCACTACTGAGAGTGTGATGCAAAATGACCTCATGCGTAGAAGCGGCATATCGCAACCCGCGCATGCGCAGATGCGCCGCTGCCGGTTGCGCTCTTTTCATGTTGCGAACAGGCCTCCGGAACGGATCCCGTTCACAACCAGAGGTACCACTGTAGTTTTCTGTTTATAAGACTAGGTTTTTTTCTTTTAAAACTATGCTGAAAAGTGGTGTTCGTCTTATACATGGAGAGTGCATAGGGCGGACATTTGATTGGTTACTGCCGCGGCTGTCAGCGGCTATTGGGCGTGTTATTGGTTGCTGCGTCAAGGGCTGGTGTTGATTGGCTGACATTGGGGCAATTGTGCGGGTGATTGGCAGCTTCTGCTGGCGAGGGGACAGACGAGAGGCGGTTTTTGTGCTGGGTGCAGATGAGCGATTTTCAGCAATCCACCCTAAAAAAAAGCTCAACTCTGAGCCATCTCCCCCCATTTTCTTAAATTTGAGTCCCCCAAAATAGGGGGCGTCTTATACATGGGGGGGGCTTATACATGGAAAAGTACGGTACACTTTTCAATTTTACACATTTCATTAGTTTTACAATCAAACATTTCAAAGTCTGACTTCCTTCCCCCTCTTTCTGTGGTTCTTTAAAAAAAATTTATAATATCTTCTGCATATCCAAAATCATTTAATTTGCTTATTTACCTGTAATTATCTACTTTAAATATATACTCTTATGTAATAACTGCAGGGTATTACAATAACCCTGCCAGTGTTTTTTATCTGTTTGCAATTTATCTATAAACGTTCAATAAACCATTTCCATTCTTTTATTTAAAAGTTTATTATCTTGATTTCTTATTCTTCTGGTAAGTTTCGCCATTTCTGCATATTCCATAAGTTTTTGTCTCCATTCTTCCTTTGCTGGGACTTCTGCTTCTTTCCACTTCCAATTACCCCATTTTAATTCTTTTCTTCCCCCCCCCCCCCGTCCGGATGCAGGAATTTCCATGTCTGGAACGACTGCTGGATGAAACGGCCCGATTTGCCTTCAGGGTTTGATGGGTGGCAGGTTGTGGATGCGACGCCCCAGGAATCCAGCAGCGGTGAGTCAAGGAAAGGTTCCTGCACAAAAAAGACTCTGATGTCCTCCAGCTGCTTTGGACTCCAACTCCCATCAGCCCCAGCTGGCATGCTTTACTGCACTGGCACACCAGCGCTGCAGGTGGCTGGAGGCCGGTACTGCAGCCATCCGACCAGCAGGGGTCAGGTGACTTTGTGAGCCAATCAGACTCTGTTTAGCCCCATAAAAGGTGCTTGAATCACTGGGGGGAACTCCTGAGTTCAAGTACTGAGGAAGAATCACCTGGTTGGGAGAACAATTTGCTTATGGTTTCATTTTTAAACAACACCTGCCATGGTATGGATGCCAGTTCAAATTGTGCAGCAAGGAGTTCCGCAGATTAACGCTGGAAGCCGTTGTCTGTTCTGGAAAGGGGACGGGGAGTTTGGCACAGCGCTCCGTCTCATCTCTTCCCTGCTTTCCTCAACAGGCATTTTCTGCTGCGGTCCCTGCTCCGTAGAGGCCATCAAGAACGGGCTGGTCTACATGAAATACGATGCCTCCTTCTGCTTTGCTGAGGTACTTGTTTCTGAATGATTTTGCATGTGCGAATGCTACTGAGAGATCCCCTAGTCATGTAACCGCATCTCTGATTCAGGCTTGGAACCTTCAGCACCAGGGAGAGCTCCCCAGGAATGCAGACGTCAATTCTATCACTAATATATCACTAATACAGTAATAATAATAATAATAATTTATTATTTGTACCCTGCCCATCCGGCTGGGTTTCCCCAGCCACTCTGGGCGGCTTCCAACAAATATTTAAAATACATTAAAATGTCACACATTAAAAACTTCCCTAAACAGGGCTGCCTTCAGATGTCTTCCAAATGTCAGGTAGTTGTTTATCGCTTTGACATCTGATGGGAGGGTGTTCCACAGAGCAGGCGCCACCACCGAGAAGGCCCTCTGCCTGGTTCCCTGTAGCTTTGCTTCTTGCAATGGTTTCAACATTCAGGCCCTCTGCCTGGTTCATTAAGCAAGGTTCAGGTTTTGGACAAGTTTAGCTCAGTTGGTAGAGCATCAGGCTGTGACCCTCAGGGTCAGCGGTTTGAGCCCCACGTTGGGCAAAAGATTCCTCCATTGCAGGGGGTTGAACAAGATGGCCCTCGTGGTCCCTTCCAAATCTACAATTATGTGAAAAGACATGGGGCAGAGAGATGCCCCTCTACCCCCAAACAGAACCATGGGCAAACACAGGTGTTGGTTTTTACGGCGGAGGGCCTGCTGATGGTTTTCTCTGACCCACTTTCTGTCTCTCTCTCTGCAGGTGAACAGTGACAAGGTATATTGGCAGCGCCAGTCTGACGGCAGCTTCAAGATCGTCTATGTGGAGGAGAAGGCAATCGGTCACTTAATCAGTACCAAGGCAGTGGGCTCAAATCAGCGCCACGATGTCACCGACATTTACAAACACCCTGAAGGTAATGTGCTGTGTGGACAAGGGGGCAGATAGCTGGGATTCCTGAGGCAGGACACACACAAATTAATAATAATAATAATTAATAATAATATTAATACAGTGGTACCTCAGGTTAAGTACTTAATTCGTTCCGGAGGTCCGTTCTTAACCTGAAACTGTTCTTAACCTGAAGCACCACTTTAGCTAATGGGGCCTCCTGCTGCCGCTGCGCCGCTGGAGCACAATTTCTGTTCTCATCCTGAAGCAAACTGCTTAACCCGAGGTACTATTTCTGGGTTAGTGGAGTCTGTAACCTGAAGCGTATGTAACCCAAGGTACCACTGTAATAATAATAATACAGTGGTATCTCAGGTTAAGCACTTAATTCGTTCCAGAGGTCCATTCTTAACCTGAAACTGTTCTTAACCTGAAGCACCACTTTAGCTAATGGGGCCTCCTGATGCTGCTGCACCGCCGGAGCACAATTTCTGTTCTCATCCTGAAGCACTAATTCTAGGTTAGAATAGTCTGTAACCTGAAGCGTATGTAACCCGAGGTACCACTGTAATAATAATAATAATTTATTTATACCCTGCCAATCTGCCTGGGGTTTCCCCAGCCACTCTGGGCGGCTCCCAACAGAATATTAAAAACACGATAAAACATCAAACATTAAAAACTTCCCTGAACAGGGCTGCCCAGATGTCTAATAAAAGTCAGATAGTTCTTTATTTCCTTGACATCTGATGGGAATAAAACCAAGATATAAAACCATAAAATACCTAATAAAAATAAAAACAAGAACCCAATAGCACCCGCCCTCACAAAAAAACACCACATTTTAAAAGGGCATAGGATGTAAATCGGATCAACCAAAGGCCTGGTTAGAAAGGAACGTTTTTGCTATAAAATATGCAGGGATTTGTGTTTTGCAAAATGAACCGTGGAAAGCGAAAAAGGGAAGCCGTTGGTATTTTAAGGCTGCTTGAATGAATACAGTGGTACCTCGGGTTAAGTACTTAATTCGTTCCGGAGGTCCGTTCTTAACCTGAAACTGTCCTTAACCTGAAGCACCACTTTAGCTAATGGGGCCTCGATTTCTGTTCTCATCCTGAAGCAAAGTTCTTAACCCGAGGTACTATTTCAGGGTTAGCGGAGTCTGTAACCCGAAGCGTATGTAACCCGAGGTACCACTGTATTCGAAAATGGAAAACGGAAAATTAAATTAAATTAGGGGGGGGGGATAAATAAAAAGCACCATTCCAGGCAGTTTGGAATGAAACCGTCTTCATCTGGGATCTTCACCTGGCTGCAGCAGCAGCAGCATGTGAGCATCTCTCTCCATCTTTCTCCCTCTTTTCCTCTCCCAGGCTCCGAAGCGGAGCGCAAAGCAGTCGAAACGGCCGCCAAGCACGGCACCAAAGCCCACATCTACACCAACAAGGAGTGGGGCGACGACATCTCCGTGACGGTGGACACCCAGGAGGCCTACACGGGCCAAGACATCTCCCTCAGGGTCATCCTGAAGAACCGCAGCTCCATGCCCCGAAGCGTCTCCCTCAACCTCTTTGTGGCCGTCATGTATTACACCGGCGTAACGGGCAGCAACTTCAAGCAGGAGAAGAGGGAGGTCCAGGTGCCGGCCAGCGGAAGTACGACACTTTATTTATTTGGTTGTTGTTTTTTTCAAATTCGTATACCACCTTCTTCCAAGGATCTAAGAGTGGTGGGCAGGCTGCTCCTCCTTTTCACCCTCACGACAGGCCTGCGAGGTAGGCCAGGCTAAGAGGTCCAAGGTCACCCCAGGGAACTTCATTATTATTATTATATATTGAATTTATATTCCGCCCTTATGCAGTGGTGCCTCGCAAGACGAAAATAATCCGTTCCGCGAGTCTCTTCGTCTAGCGGTTTTTTCGTCTTGCGAAGCAACCCTATTAGCGGATTAGCGCTATTAGCGGTTTAGCGGCTTAGCGGCTATTAAAGGCTTAGCGGCTTAGCGGCTAAAAGGCTCTTAGCGGCTTAGAAAAGGGGGGGGAGCGAAAAAAATCGCAAGACTCGCAAGACGTTTCCGTCTTGCGAAGCAAGCCCATAGGGAAAATCGTCTTACGAAGCGCATCGAAAAACGGAAAACCCTTTCGTCTAGCGGGTTTTTCGTCTTGCGAGGCATTCGTCTTGCGGGGCACCACTGTACCCGGAGGTCTCATGGCAGTTCACAGAAAAGATCACAATATATAAAATCAAAATAAGAACAATAACCCAGTAAGGTAAAGGTAAAGGGACCCCTGACCATTAGGTCCAGTCGTGGCCGACTCTGGGGTTGTGGCGCTCATCTCGCTTTATTGGCCGAGGGAGCCGGTGTACAGCTTCCGGGTCATGTGGCCACCATGACTAAGCCGCTTCTGGCGAACCAGAGCAGCGCACGGAAACGCCGTTTACCTTCCCGCCAGAGCAGTACCTATTGATCTACTTAAAGTGCAAGTGCTGGCAGTACCAAGGACCGAGCAACGGGAGCTCACCCCGTCGCAGGGATTCGAACCGCCGACCTTCTGATCGGCAAGTTCTAGGCTCTGTGGTTTAACCCACAGCGCCACCCGCGATAACCCAGTAACACCCCCTCAAAAAGAGCCACATTTTAAAAGGGTATAGGTCGATGTCCATCAGGTCAACCAAAGGCCTGGTCAAAAAGGAACATTTTTGCCTGGCACCTAAAGGTGTATAATAAGGCGCCAGGCGAACTTCCCTGGGGAGAGCATTCCACAGATGGGGGGCCACCACAGAAAAGGCCCTGTTCTTGTGTTGCCACCCTCCAGACCTCTCAAGGAGGAGGCACAGGAAGGAGGGCCTCAGAAGATGATCTCAGATCCCTGGGTAGGTTCGTATGGAAAGAGGTGGCCCTTGAGGTATTGCGGTCCTGAGCTTCATGGCTGAATGGGGATTTGAACCCGGCTCTCTTCCAGGTCCTGGTCCAAAACTCGTACTGCTACGCCACACTGGCTCTTGGTCACCTTAAATCACTGGGCCACGTATCTGCTTGGGCCCCCTGTGTCACATCAAACAACCCCATTGCGAGGGGCCTCCCCATGGCAGGGAAATAGTCAATGGACATGGCAAAACGGGTAGAGACGGGACACTCTGCTCCAATCCACGGCGCATGGTGCGTTCTCTGTAAGTCAGTGGTTCTTGAAGGAGAGGACGGCAAGTGTAGCAGGAAGAGTCGAGGACAACAAAAGAAACATTTAAACATTTCAATGTAGTGCAGTAGTTTCGAAATAAGTTTTATGATTTGCAGAATACACATATTCTATGCTAAAAGCACTGCTCTGAGTTATAATCATCATCATCATCATTTGTTATTTATACCCCTCCCATCTGGCTGAGTTTCCCCAGCCACTCTGGGCGGCTTCCAACAAAGATTAAAAATACATTAAAATGTCAAACATTAAAAACTTCCCTAAACAGGACTGCCTTCAGATGTCTTCTAAAAGCCAGATAGTTGCTTATTTCCTTGACATCTGGTGGGAGGGCATTCCACAGGGCGGGCACCACCACCGAGAAGGCCCTCTGCCTGGTTTCCTGTAACTTTGCTTCTCGCAGTGAGGGAACCGCCAGAGGGCCCTCAGAGCTGGACCTCAGTGTCCGGGCAGAACGATGTGGGTGGAGACGCTCCTTCAGGTATACTGAGCCGTTTAGGGCTTTAAAGGTTAGCACCAACACTTTGAATTGAGCTCGGAAACGTACTAGGGACCAATGTAGGTCTTTCAGGAGTGGTGTTATGTGGTCTCGGCGGCCGCTCCCAGTCACCCGTCTTGCTGCCGCATTCTGGATTAGTTGTAGTTTCCGGGTCACCTTCAAACGTAGCCCCACGTATAGCGCATTGCAGTAGTCCAAGCAGGAGATAACCAGAGCATGCACCACTCTGGCGAGACAGTCTGTGGGCAGGAAGGGCCTATGCGTACCAGATGGAGCTGCCCTGGACACAGAATTGACCTGCGCCTCCATGGACAGCAGTGAGTCCAAAATGACTCCCAGGCTGCGCACCTGGTCCTTCGGGGGCACAGTTACCCCATTCAGGACCAGGGAGTCCCCATATCTGCCTGTCCCCCCAAAAACAGTACTTCTGTCCTGTCAGGATTCAACCTCAATCTGTTAGCCGCCATCCATCCTCCAACTGCCTCCAGACACTCAGGGTTACAGCAGAGCAGGTTTCAGCGATCTTTGGAAATTGCCGAAAACTCTCCCGCAGACTGTGGCAATCGACTGGGTGTTTAAGGGATAAAGTAAATAATTACTAAAGCGGTCCGTCTCTCAGGGAACCTGGTCCTGAGCTGCGTAGAGCCACAGGTTGTGCCATAGAGCTTGTCGTGATTTTCGGTCCCAGTTTGCGTAACCCTTCCCCTGCCTTTCCCTTCCAGGCCAAGCTGTTCCCATGGTGGTCTCCTACGCGGAGTACAAGCCTCACCTGGTTGACCAGGGAGCCATGAAGCTGAGCATCTCAGGGAAAGTGGCCGAAACCGGCCAGGTGATCGCGAAGGAGCACACCTTCCGTTTGCGGACGCCGGACCTCACTCTGACGGTAGGGCACATGGGCTGTGGTTTAAAATCTGGGGTGAGGGAACTCTTGGGGGTGGGGGGCTTGAGGGCCGCATTTGCTTCTGGGCAGCCTTTGGAGGGCCAGATGCCATGGTGGGCGGGGCCAGCGACCAAAGTGGGTGGAGCAATGGATGTAGACATTGCCTTTGTGTGCACCGTATTTTTCGCTCCACAAGACGCACCTGACCATAAGACGCACCTAGTTTTTAGAGGAGGAAAGCAAGGAAAAAAATATTCTGCGCAGAGCACAGTCCCTCCTCCCACTTCGCTGAGAAGCCAGCAGAGCAAGCTGCGCAGCTCTCGCTGAAGCTAGCAGAGCAAGAGCGATAGCTGCGCAGCGCCTCTTCTTCTGCTGGCTTCCCAGCAAAGCGGGATGAGAGACGAAAGGGAGCCATTACAAGGGAGTGCTGAGCAGAGCCTGGCAGTGGCTCTTGCTGGCTTTTCCTCGAGGAGGGAGAAGGGACTGACGGGCTGCCCTTCTCCCTCCTCGGGGAAAAGACCCCAAGAGCCGCACACACACTCCGCGCGGCTCTTTAAAGGGAGCGCTGAGCAGAGCCTCCTGCCTGCATTCGCTCCATAAGACGCACACACATTTCCCCTTACTTTTTAGGAGGGAAAAAGTACGTCTTATGGGGCGAAAAAATACGGTAATTACCTCGCTGTCCTCCGTGTAAGCAAGCCAAAGGGAATTTGAGGGGTTTGAGGACAGATTTGAGGCGTGGAGCAGCACTAGCAAGCAGGAGTGTCCAGAGGAAGGTTTTGAGAGCCAGATAAAGAAACATGGGGGGCCACAGAGATGAGGTCCCACACCCATGAAAACCAGGTGTTTGTAGTGGGGGTCTGGGACCACAGGAACGCCAGTGGATCCCAGGCAGTTTTCAACACCCCAGTTGACTCGAATGGATCTTTAGCGAGCATTTTAGTCCTGTTAAAAAAACAAAACAAGAACTGCAAAGAATACACAAAATTTGAAGGAAAAAAATGATTATAAAAAGGGGAGCTAAAGAAGAAAATACAGTAGTACCTCGGTTTAAGAACAGCCCTGTTTAAGAACTATTCGGTTTACGAACTCCACAAAACCGGAAGTAGTGTCCTGGTTTGCGAACTTTACCTCGGTCTACAAACAGAATCCAAACAGTGGAAGGGCACCGGTGGCCGGAGGCCTCATTAGGGAAAGCTTGCCTCAGTTTAAGAATGGTTTCGGTTTAAGAACAGACCTCCGGAATGAATTCAGTTTGTAAACCGAGGTGCCACAGTACAGTTATAAAAGGGCAAACCAGTGAAATTTATAAAACGTTAGTAGAAAGGGAAGATCAAGAAGACAAATTCAAAGAGAAAAGGAGGCAATGGGGCAGATGGGTGCTCAAAGCTGTGGGGGGGGGGAATGGAAGAATCATACATTGAAAATGTTGTCTATAAGAATAAAAGAAAATATGCTATATGGTCATTTATGGACCACATAGGTATCTCAAACCATTTGCCCATGTTGCCCTGCAACCAGTCCGTGCAGAATGTAGGCACCCTCTATATAGAAAGGAACAAACCAGTGATATTTTGGGGAGCAGACTAGCAGGTGTTACATCATAGGAGCCTGCACAACACAAAACACTGTTGCTGTATGTAGGTTTTATTTGTTTTTTATCTTATATTTTGGAAATGTACATCCAGTTGTTGTTTTTTAATTTTTTTGGGGGGGCCCCCAAGAGAGTGGGGCCCTAATCTATAGCTTGTTTAGCTTATATGTAAATCCGGAACTGCTCACCCTTGACAATGCTTTCTCTGTTCTCTCCTCTCTCTCTCCCTCCGACAACAGTTGCTGGGCCCAGCTATCGTTGGACAAGAAACCCAAGTCCAGATTGTCTTCAAGAACCCTCTTCCGGTGACGCTGACCGGGGCCATCTTCCATATGGAGGGCTCGGGGCTCTCCACCCCAAATACAATGACAGTGGGGTGAGTAGACCTACCTTTCCCAGGATTCTTTGGGACAGGGCTGCCATTTAAGTGCGTTATGCATCTGAAACAATAACCATCTTCCCTTCGTCGGAAGATTACCAGGTGCTATACGAAAGCATTCAGCAAAATTCACATCGTGTAATACAGACACAATTTTAAACACTCAACAAACCAGAGCTGAAAGGAGGGAAAGGGCAAATGAAAAACTCCCCAAATTTGATTCAATCTACAGATCAAAATAATAACAACAATAATAAATGATTATTGTAATATTCAGTGCTTTTTCCGGGGGGGGCGGCGACACAGGGGTACGCATACCTCTAAACCAGGGGTGTCAAACTCAAATTCATCGGGGGCCGCATCAGCAGTTTGGTCACCCTCAAAGGGCCGGTTGTATCTGTAGGACTATGTGTCCACTCTTTATTATCATAAATTATTGTCACTGCATTCAATTATTACTGTTTTTTGTAATAATGTAAGTAATAACTAGCTCTGAAAGCAGAAACATAGTCAGAATAATGGATCTGTCACATCACAGGATGGCATGCGCTCAATATAAAAACAAGTGGAGGTTTCCTGAATGTGTGTAAAGTGGAGGTTTCCTGTGTAGAACAGCCGGCGCCGCTAGAGGGCAGACATTCTCTGGCTTGTAGGCTGCCGCGCATGCGCTGAAGAGGCGGCTTTCTTGTGTCCAAAAAAAAAAAAAGCGAGAATAAAAGGTGAAGGCTGGCGGCCGGCGGCGGCTACACGGGCCACATGACGAGGTCTGGCGGGCCGAATTCGGCCCGCGGACCTTGTGTTTGACACCCGTGCTCTAAACATTTTGTGAATTTAAATTCAGCCTCATTGAAGGGCAGTACTTCAATATGAGTAGGAAAATGAGAGTACCCCTAAACATTTTTTTAGGGGGGAGAAGCACTGGTAATATTTATACCCTGCCCATCTGTCTGGGTTGCCAGATGGCTCCCTAGTTTTCATTTTGTGCTTAATTCAGGAGTTGCTTATGACAGAGGCTTTGAGGTGGAACCTTAAACCAAATTAGTGAAGAGTTGACCAAGTAAGGCAGAATGTTTCTAGTAAGAACCTGCAATTAGGTTCTCGCATACCCAGAATTGGAGGATTGGACTCCTCGAGCCCTGACACTGGACCAGAACGTCGGTGGCGCTGTGGGTTAAACCACTGAGCCTCTGAGACTTGCTGATCAGAAGGTCAGCGGTTCAAATCCCCACAACGGGGTGAGCGCCTGTTGCTCTGTCCCAACTCCTGCCAACCTAGCAGTTCGATAGCACGCTAGTGCAAGTAGATAAATAGGTACCACTGCGGCGGTAAAGTAAACAGTGTTTCCGTGCGCTCTGGTTTCCGTCGCTGTGTCCCATTCCGCCAGAAGCAGTTTAGTCCTGCTGACCACATGACACAGAAAGCTGCCTGCGGACAAACGCCAGCTCCCTCGGCCTGAAAGTGAGATGAGCGCCGCAACCCCATAGTCACCTTTGACTGGATTTAACCATCCAGGGGTCCTTTACCTTTCCACTTCCGAACTCTGGCCTTTCTGAAAACACAAGCTGGGGAACCTGACTCTCTCTTTCTCCCCCTTCTGCAGAAATATCGGCCCACACCAAACCGTGACGCTACGACAGACCTTCACACCTCTCCGTGCAGGCCAACGCCAGCTGGTAGCCAGCCTGGACAGCCCTCAGCTCTCCCAGGTCCACGGGGTGCTGACGATCGAGGTGACCCAGGGACCCCCACGAGGCCCCTCGTCGGCTTCTCCAGCCCCGGTTCGGGGGTCTCCGGCCCGCGGACGAGCTTCCCCGGCCCACGGACGGGCTTCTCCGGCCCCCGCCCGAGCCTCGCCTGCACCTTCTCCCGCCCTCACCAGGGCGTCTCCGGCTCGCCAGCCAACAGGCCGCAGCAGCCCAGCCAATGCCCGCAGGTCTCCGGCCCGCCAGCCAGACCCTCGAGGCTCCCCCAATGTCCGTGGGTCGCCTGCCGTGCGGGCGGGGCGGGGGGTCTGAGGCAGACCTTTTTAGCTTTTTTTATTTTTAATGTGATGTACTGTGTGATGAATTGCATACGGTGCCAGCAGAACTGGGAGCAACATGAGGGGGGGCGTGCTATGAATGAGCCACAGGACCACAGCAGTTCTGCAGGATGCGGCCATGCCAAGGCCTCGATATTCGGTTGTCTCTCAGCCGTCCATCACCCATATACAGCCACCCTGCCCGTTATTTGCCATTGCCCAGTTATATCTCTGCTTTCCCCTCCCCTCACGCAATTTGTTCTGTTCTTCCTTCCCCTTTTCCTTGCTCTCTGTCCCCGCTCCCCACAAAACTCGCGACTCTGAGCCCATGTCAACCTGTCCCTCTCTGCCTGTCCGTCCATCTTCCGCCTGAATGTTTGCCATCCCCTCACATACCTGCACTGTCCATTTCACTCTCTCCCAAGCCCAGGGGCTGAACGTTGCCAGCACCCTACAAACCTACTCCCTCTTTCTCGATCGCTGGGATCCCCCGAAAGATTTTTGTACTCGTTGTTCTCTTTTGCTCCTTCGCACACCTTTTGTTTTTAAATAATACACTGAACCTCACTCTCTCGCACAGGCACAACACTTGCTCCCCCAAAAAGGCAAGCAATGAGCTTCCGAAGGGAGAAGACACACAGGGTTTTTTTTAAGTCCTCCTAAGTAAATCCAGCTTGATCCCACCATATCCACTGGAAATTTAACGCCACATTTACATTAGATGAATCTTGCCACTTTCTTATCTCTCTCTCCTTGGGTCACCGGTACAGGGAGGTTACCATGCAATGGTTGTAGTATGGGAAGGATTTTTCTCCCTGCCCTCCTAAAATGGTATTAGCAAGGAAGAGTAGGGAAACTGCTTGAGGAAGACTACTAACCCACCGCAAAATGCATTGATTGGCCAATGGCTGCTTTGCCTCTGTTCACTTATTTAAATGTATGCATACACCAAATGTCCACATTCTTCCTTAACTTTGCACTGAAGCCAAGCTGTGCGTGCTTTTAAAAAGAAGAGCCAAAATAACATGTTTGTAACTAGCCAGAAGACATCTCTGTGATTATGTGAAGATATGATAAATTGTGCTACATTTAAACTACATGCAAACGAGTGAAGCCAAAGCCTGTTACTCTTATTTTTCACACTTAATATAGGTATTTATTTGAAAATAATAAATGATTTTTATCTCTAAACCTGGCTTTTTAAATGGTTGTGTGGGTTTCTTCTTTTCTTGTAGCACTGAACACGTCACAAACCCACATTAGCAGCTGTTGCAGTTTGTGGTATTGTCCAGGCTGACCTCCCCTCAAAGCCACATTGGCTTTTCCTTGCACATCCCCTCTCTCCTATATAGTATTTGTACTGGTCTGTCGTCACGCTGTGATTATGACAGCCACTAGGGGGCACTTCTTCGGCGATCACTCATAGCCAAGTAAGATTGTCTTCCATAAACACAGTTTTAACAATGAGTCCATAACTGACTGTGGAGGCTAATTCTGGATCCACACATCCTTCCTCAGTGGGGACATTGGATTCCAGGAAGGAGTTGATCACAGTGAGGGTTTGCCAAGCATGCCTTCCTCTTAGCACGTTTCTCCCTTGCGTCCTGAGTTCGAGTGTCTTCAAAGCCCACGACACCTTTGGTAAAGGCTGTTCGCCAACTGGAGCACTCGCAGGCAAATGTTTCCCAATTGTTGGTGTTTATACTACATTTTTAAAGATTTGCCTTGAGAGCCTTTAAACCTCTTTTGTTGACCACCAGCATTACGCTTTCCATTTTCAAGTTGGGAATAGAGTAGTTGCTTTGGATGGCGATAATCAGGCACCCGCACAACATGACCAGTCCAGCAAAGTTGATGTCGAAGAATCATTGCTAAGACACTGGTGATCTTTGCGTCTTCCAGTACACTGATATTAGTTCGCCTGTCTTCCCAAGCGATGCGTACAATTTTTCGGAGACACCGTTGATGAAATCTTTTGAGGAGTTGGAGATGGCATTTATAAGTGGTCCATGTTTCCCAAGCATACAGTAATTCACACCAGGCACGTGAATGGAGCCAAACATGGCCCTTTCAGGTATCCATTTGGGTCATTTCAGGAGGAGGAATATAGGAGAATTAGGGAGCAACATGTAGGGATGCAGGTGGCGCTGTGGGTTAAACCACTGAGCCTAGGACTTGCCAATCAGAAGGTCAGCGGTTCGAATCCCCGCGATGGGGTGAGCTCCCGTTGCTCAATCCCTGCTCCTGCCAACCTAGCACATCAAAGTGCAAGTAGATAAATAGGTACCGCTTCGGTGGGAAGGTAAACGGCATTTCCGTGCGCTGCTCTGGTTCGCCAGACGCGGCTTAGTCATGCTGGCCACATGACCCAGAAGCTGTACGCCGGCTCCCTTGGCCAATAAAGCAAGATGAGCGCCGCAACCCCAGAGTCAGCCATGACTGGACCTAATGGTCAGGGGTCCCTTTACCTTACCTTTAGGGAGCAACATGACCTGCTTGGGGTAGGGGTGTCCTCCCTTTCTTTCTCCCTGGCCCCATGGGAGGCTTCCCCCACCCCACAGGCAAGAGAGCAAGCGAAGGGGATTTTTTGTGGGAAGCTGTGGGTGGAATAGAGGCTGGAGGAGCAGATATTTCTGACACTTTTAGAGGTTCAGAAGCTGAGAAAGAAATGTCCCATTATGGCATTGGGGAAGGGAAGGGAAGTGTGGGGAGGGGAGATGTGGTCATGGAGAGGGAAAGGGAGAAGGGAAATCTGGTCTTGAGCATGGGTAGGCAAACTAAGGCCTGGGGGCCGGATCCGGCCCAATCGCCTTCTAAACCCAGCCCATGGACAGTCCAGGAATCAGCGTGTTTTTACACGAGTAGAATGTGTCCTTTTATTTAAAATGCATCTCTGGGTTATTTGTGGGGCATAGGAATTCGTTCTTTTTTCAAAATATAGTCTGGGCCCCCCACAAGGTCTGAGGGACAGTGGACCGGCCCCCTGCTGATAAAGTTTGCTGACCCCTGGTCTTGAGAGTAAACTGAGGCAGGGAGAGAGGGGATGCTGCTGTAATTCCGGAGAAGGAAACTCAGGGAAGGAAACTGAAGCAGAGTCATCCCTACTAGAGATATAAAAGGGGTAGTAGTGCCCTGCATCTCAGTGCTTGGATTAGCAATTTCCAGTTAAAGAGTTGAGGGGGTGAGAAACACAAATTTTAAACGTCACTGGATGAGAAGTGAGTTTCCTTTGAAATGAGTAAGGCTGAAAACTCTGCTCCTATTTCCTTTTTGACAGTCAAAGGCTGAATAAGGATGTCTCATATCGTACATCTACTAGACCAGGAGACAGCCCCCTTTGAGATATATCAGAATTATCTCTGTTCGAAAGCTTTATTTTGGGGCAGTGTAGAGGTGGAAGAAAGGCACAACCCCTCTTCCTTCTTAGCTAGTTGCTCCTATGACAATGCATCTGTACTTTACCAATTACAGCAGTACCTTGGTTCCCAAGCTTAATCTGTTCCGGAAGTCCGTTCCAAAACCAAAGCGTTTCAAAACCAAGGTGCGCTTTCCCATAGAAAGTAATGTAACATGGACTAATCTGTTCCAGACTTTTAAAAACAACCCCTAAAACAGTAATTTAACATGAGTTTTACTAACGAGAGACCGTTGATCCATAAAATGAAAGCAATAATCAATATACTGTAGTATAAAAAAAGGACAGTATTGTAGATGATAAAAATTTAAGTTTTTGCTGCTTCTTACCTGCACTGATGATAGTCATTGTTTGGATGGGGGGCTTTTATCCATTTCTGCAGTCACACAATCAGTCAGTAGCTGAACTGGGTCCCACACAGTCACAAAAACGGCCTAAACGGCCTCAGCTCAGTATACCTGAAGGAGCGTCTCCACCCCCATTGTCCAGCCCGGACACTGAGGTCCAGCGCTGAGGGCCTTCTAGCGGTTCCCTCCCTGCGAGGAGTGAGGTTACAGAGAACCAGGCAGAGGGCCTTCTCAGTGGTGGCGCCCACCCTGTGGAACGCCCTCCCAGCAGATGTTAAGGAAATAAATAACTGACTTTTAGAAGACATCTGAAGGCAGCCCTGTTCAGGGAAGTTTTTAATGTCTAATTCTTCCAAAAAAAAATTATGTGCTGTATGCCACCCAGAGTGGCTGGGGAAACCCAGCCAGATAGGTGGGCTATAAATAATAAAATTATTATCATTATCATTATCATTATTATTATTACAAAATGTGTATTGGATGTTGCTTCTCTCATGTACAGTGGTACCTGTAGTTACGGACTCGATCCATTCCGGGGTGCCGTTTGCACCCCAAAAAGTCCGTGACTAGAGCACCGTTTCTGCGCATGTGCAATAGAGCGTTTCTACGCATGTGGCGAAAAAGACACAACATGAACCTAACGCAACACGAGGTATATCTGTACAGTGGTACCTCAGGTTACATACACTTCAGGTTACATACGCTTCTGGTTACAGACTCCGCTAACCCAGAAATAGTACCTCAGGTTAAGCACTTTGCTTCAGGATGAGAACAGAAATCGTGCTCCGGCGGAGAGGTGGCAGCAGGAGGCCCCATTAGCTAAAGTGGTGCTTCAGGTTAAGAACAGCTTCAGGTTAAGAACGGACCTCCGGAGCGAATTAAGTACTTAACCCGAGGTATACACAAGGTATACTGTATACCCGAGGTATACAGTATACACAAAACCCAGCCTGCAACAAAGCAGTAACACTGGACCACACTGCAGGGTAGTTCTAGACTATATTCTTGCTCTCAGCACCGGTTCCCCAACGTGCAATATTAACCTCGGCCTACACTGCAGGGCTGGTGTGACACGCTAGGCCCCGCCCACCTCCACCTGGCCAGGTGAGCGCCCTGCCCTGAAATCTGCATAAACTCTTCTTTCGCCCCACCTCCTCGTCCCTGATTGGCTGCTTCTCTACGAGGCCGCGGTTCCCAGAATGACCGCCAGGGGCCGCTGTGCGGCTCATTTTGAGCGGCGGCGGTGTGGAAACCGCGCGTCTCCAAGGTTTCCACGGAACGCCAGCGGATGTGACGAACGCGCCGGGGTGACGTCAGGCGCATCGCCATAGAAACGCGCCGGAAGCGAGGCGGGAAATAAAAAAAAACCGAAATGCCCGGGGTTAGCGGCAGAAGGAGGAGACCCGAGCGAGCGCCGGAGCTGCGAAGCGGCTCAGGGTCCCGCAAAAGCGGAGAGGGAAGAGTTAAAAGGGCGCATGCGCAGCCGGAAGTGAGGCCGCCGGAAGCCCGGCCGAGGGCTAACGGTTGCCAAGGGCAACGAAGAAGGGTATGACGCTTGGTTATTGGTTTATTTATTGCGCTTCTGTCGCGCTTCTCGCCCGCACAGGGAGCTGAAGGGGGCCGGGACGGTTCTTCTGCCCCCGCTCACCCCACAAGAAACCCCGCGAGGTGGGCTGGGCCGGGGGGAAGTTGGCAGAAATGATGCCTGGCATGGAGGGCAGTGGAGTTGGAAGGGGCCCTCAAAGGTCATCTAGACCAACCCCCTGAGATGCAGGAACCTGCCAAGGAAGGAGACCCCACCGCCTCCCGAGGAAGCCCGTTTCGCTGTTTAATGGCTCTTAACTTTCAGGAAGGCGGAGAAAACGAAGGTCCTCCTCCACAGTTAACCTGCGGAACTCTCTCCCTCAGGAGGCAGCGATGGGTCAGATTACATCAAATAAAGAAGGAATATTCGGTGTTACGTTGGAGGGGGATGCCAGGAAACCTGGAATTACGTTCACATGTAGTGGGGGGTGTAAATACGTACAATTTTTCTGGCAAAAGGTGTTTAAGGAGATAACACACCAACTTGGCCTGGGCCTACTGCTGTTTGTAGATCTCTCTGAATCAAGGCTGTTGGTTGCTGTACTGCTTCCAGACCCTGAATCTCCCTTCCTAGAGAATTTAGACTGGCTCCCTCCTTGTTGTCTCTCTGCCATTGGCCTTTTTATTCCGTCAGGCCTTTGGAAACTGACTTTTTAAGGCAAGGGCAGGTGCTGCAATGGTTTTCTTGTTGTTACAATCGGTATTTTTAATTGATTTCTTTATATTGTTTTCATTCCATTAGTGTTTAATTAATTGTTAATGGCTAACTTTTCTATTTTTCTGTTTTGCCTGTTTTTTGTATTTTTATCTGTAAGCCATCTTACATCTGTAATGCAAACCTGGCC